GTGGAGGCGTCGCAGGCCAGCGCCGCCGCCCGGCACGCCGAAGAGCTCCACGCGCGGCGCGGGGACCTCGACGGCCGCGTGCGCGCGCTGGAGCAGAAGCGGTTCTCAGAAGCCAAGCGAAGGCTGGCAAACCCGTGGCTGCTAAAACGGAGCTCCGGGAAGTCGCTTTCTTCGTCCGGGAAGCAGCCCGCTTATTGTTCTTATCGCGCCGAGCTTTATTCCAGGAGTGTGTGTCTTTCTCTTCCGGGAAGACCGTTTTGGCAGCCACGGGTCTGCCAGTCGTCGCCCAGCTTCCGAGGTTCGGGCAGGACATCGACGAGCTGCGCGCGAAGCTGGCGGCGCTCGGCGGCGACGTGGTGCAGCTGCAGCGCCAGGACGCGGACCGGCGGCAGAAGAGGCTCGCCCTGCTGAAGGCGGAGGTGGCCCGGCACCAGGAGAACATCTCGGCGGCGCGCACGGGGGGGCGGCGCGAGGGGGGCGGCCCTCTGGGAGGGCATCTTGCGTTGAAGTCGGACCTGGCCCTCTGGAGGAGGAGTATCCAAGCATAAGTCAAAAAGTAGCACGGGGACGATGTTTTGATTATTTTTGAGTTTTTTTTTTGTGTGGCTCTCTTTCAACTCTCGTCCAAAAGCGTCCTGCAGGAGGACATTTTTTGGTCTGCGGGGCGAGAGCGAACCTCTTCCGGTAAAAGCTGGGCGGGCTACGCACAGCTCTAATTGGGGAGACAGGGCACAGGCGGGCGGGGCCTCAGGCGGCCGGAGGGCGGGCCGGGGTGCAGGCGGTGCCGAGGAGCTTGCACAGGAAAAGGAACGCCGTGGACAGGCCTGCAGGAGGACATGACCGGTCTAATCTTACGTCTCATCTGAGAAGCCTTCACAGGAGCACTGGGCCACGTCCAAGAATGCCCCCCCCGCCTCCTCCTCCTCCTCCTCCTCCTCCTCCTCCTCCTCCTCCTCCTCCTCCTCCTCCTCCTCCTCCTCCTCCTCCTCCTCCTCCTCCTCCTCCCCCCCCCTCCTCCTCTTCCTCCTTCTCCTCCTCCTCCTCTTCCTCCTCCGTTTTCTCCTCCTCTTCTTTCCCCAAGAAGGTCACCCTCCCCAGCACCACCCCCTCGGGCGCACCGCCAAGCATCTGGGACGCCAACAACACGACCCAGCTCAGCGAGCCCCGCAGGGACCAGAGCGCCTCAGGCGAGGAGCTCCAGGAGCTGCGCCGGAGCACCTCGGACGTCGCCTCCCGCGTCGGGAGGTGCGAGAGTGGCCTGGAGGAGCTGCGGCAGCAGGCACGGGAGATCAAACAGCGACATGCGGTCGGACCGAGGTATCAGACCGAAGTAAGTTCGGGGAGGGTACCCTAAGAGTGCTCTTCGTGTGTGTTGTGTGTTGTGCATGTTGTGTGTTGTGTGTTGTGTTGTGTGTTGTGTGTGTGTGTTGTGTGTGTGCCGTGTGTTGTGTGTCATGTGTTGTGTGTTGTGCGTTGTATGTTGTGTGTTGTGTGTTGTGTGTTGTGTGTTGTGTGTTGTGTGTTGTTTGTTGTGCGTTGTGCGTTGTGCGTTGTGCGTTGTGCGTTGTGCGTTGTATGTTGTGTGTTGTGTGTTGTGTGTTGTGTGTTGTGTGTTGTGTGTTGTGTGTTGTGTGTTGTGTGTTGTGTGTTGTGTGTTGTGTGTTGTGTGTTGTGTGTTGTGTGTTGTGTGTTGTGCGTTGTGTGTTGTGTGTTGTGTGTTGTGTGTTGTGTGTTGTGTGTTGTGTGTTGTGTGTTGTGTGTTGTGTGTTGTGTGTGTGTTGTGTGTTGTGTGTTGTGTGTTGTGTGTTGTGTGTTGTGTGTTGTGTGTTGTGTGTTGTGTGTTGTGTGTTGTGTGTGTGTGTGTGTGTTGTGTGTTGTGTGTGTGTGTGTTGTGTGTTGTGTGTTGTGTGTTGTGTGTTGTGTGTTGTGTGTTGTGTGTGTGTGTGTTGTGTGCTGTGTGTGGTGTGTTGTGTGTTGTTTGTTGTTTGTTGTGCGTTGTGCGTTGTGCGTTGTGCGTTGTGCGTTGTGCGTTGTACGTTGTGCGTTGTGCGTTGTGCGTTGTGCGTGTTGCGTTGTGCGTTTTGCGTTGTGCGTTGTGTGTTGTGTGTTGTGTGTTGTGTGTTGTGTGTTGTGTATTGTGCGTTGTGCGTTGTGCTTTGTGTGATGTGTGTTGTGAGTTGTGTTTTGTGTTTTGTGTTGTGTGTGTGTCGTGTGTTGTGTGTGTGTTGTCTGTTGTCTGTTGTGTGGTGTGTGTTGTGTGTTGTGTGTTGTGTGTTGTGTGTTGTGTGTTGTGTGTTGTGTGTTGTGTGTGTTGTGTGTGTGTGTGTTGTGTTTTGTGTTGTGTGGTGCGTGTGGTGTGTTGTGTGTTGTGTGTTGTGTGTTGTGTGTCATGTGTTGTGTGTTGTTCGTTGTGTGTTGTGCGCTGTGCGCTATGCGCTGTGTGTTCTGTGTTCTGTGGTCTGTGTTGTGTGTTGTGTGTTGTGTGTGGTGTGTGGTGTGTTGTGTGTTATGCGTTGTGTTTGTGCGTTGTTCGTTGCGCGTTGTGAGTTCTGTGTTGTGTGTTGTGCTATGTGTATTGTGTGTTGTGTGTTGTGTGTTGTGTGTTGTGTGTGTTGTGTGGTGCGTGGTGCGTGGTGTGTGGTGTGTGGTGTGTGGAGTGTGGTGCGTGGTGTGTGGTGTGTGTTATGTGGTGTGTGTGTTTGTTGTGTGTGTTGTGTGTTGTGTGTTGTGTGTTGTGTGCTGTGTGCTGTGTGCTGTGTGTTGTGTGTTGTGCGTTGTGTGTTGTGTGTTGTGTGTTGTGTGTTGTGTGTTGTGTGTTGTGTTGTGTGTGTGTTGTGTGTTGTGTGTGTGTTGCCTGGTGTCTGTTGTGTGTTGTGTGTTGTGTGTCGTGTGTTGTTCCCCAATCAGAGCTTGCCTCTATAGGGGTCCTAGCGGATTAAAGGGTTAGGTAGTCTGTGCCGCCGATTGCCCGGGTGGCCGGGGCCGGGTGCCCGGGTGCCCGGGGGTGCCCGGGGGTGCCCGGGTGCCCAGGTGTGTGGCCGATTTCGGTGGCCGGGGCCGGGTGCCTGGGTGCCCGGGGGTGCCCGGGGGTGCCCGGGTGCCCGGGTGCCCAGGGGTGCCCGGGTGCCCGGGGTGCCCAGAAGTGCCCGGGGGTGCCTATAGCTATAGCCTAATAGCCCTATATCCCTATAGCCCAATAGCCCAATCGCCCTATATCTCCATAGCACTATAATCTTATAGCCCTATAGCCGTATAGCCCTATAGCCCAATAGCCCATTAGCCCAATAGCCCCATAGCCCCATAGCCCTATAGCCCTATAGCCCTATAGCCCTATAGCCCTATAGCCCTATGATCCTAACGCCCTATAGCCGTATATAGCCCTATAGCCTTATAGCCCTATAGCCCGAATAGTCTTATAGCCCTTAGCCCTACAGCCCTATAGCCCTGTAGCCCTATAGCCCCATAGCCCTAAAGGCTTCTTGCCCTAAATCCCTATGGCCACATCGCCCTATAGCCCTATAGCCCCATAGCCCTAAAGCCCTAAAGCCCCATAGCCCCCCCAAAATTATGATTGGGTTTTTTCTCTGGTATCATTTGTTGTGTGTTGTGTGTTGTGTGTTGTGGTGTGTGTGTGGTGTGTTGTGTTGTGTGTTGTGTGTTGTGTGTTGTGTGTTCTGTGTGTGTTGTGTGTTGTGTGTTGTGTGTTGTGTGTTGTGTGTTCTGTGTGTGTTGTGTGTTGTGTGTTGTGTGTTGTGTGAAGTGTGTGTGTGTGTGTGTCGTGTGTGTTGTGTGTTGGACGTGCTCGTGCATCCTGGGGGAGGCTGCCCTTGAATGTTCGTCACCTTGGCAGGCGGAGGGCGTCAGGGTGCTCTTCTCACCGAGCGCGTTTCACTACTCGCAGAGTGCCTACTCGCAAACGTCAGGAGAAAAAAACATATGTCTGCTTCGGTGTATTTTTGTTGTAGATCCCTCGCGGCGGATCCTGGCCATTTGCGAGTGGTGACTTGGCGAGTCGTGGAATGCGCTCGTCTCTCTTCTGCCTGTGGTCCGACCGTACAGTCGGGGCCCTGAAGAAGGAACCCTTTTCGTTGGGGAGGGGCTCTGCGCTCCTTAAGTGTTTCACAGCTTGCCTCAGGTTGTCCTTATGTTTTCGATCGGAAATCGAAGTTTAACTTCTGGAAGAAAGGGGCTTCGTTCCTTATTTAGGGTTCCTTAGGTCAACGCCCCGACTGTAACGCACAAAGCTTTCGTCTCAACGTGTGCGTCTCCGCGGCGGGCGGCGCATGACGCCCCTCCCCCCCGAACGCCGGGTCTGGCGCCCAGCGGCGCCGCCCCGGGGGCCCTCCGCGCGTGTGGGGAGGGCGCGTGGGGGGGAAGGGTGGCCCTTCGCATTTCAGGGGCAACGATCAAGGGGGGATAGGCATATGGGGGGGGATGCATCGACCCCCAAACTCTCATCGATGTCGCCGGTAGAGGCCCGATCGCCCCAACCTGCCCAGGGAGGTGCGGATTCACTGTCGGGGGCCCATTGCCGATCTATCGGCGATGTATCGTCGATTCCAGGTCGGTGCTTCCCCCCTATGCCAGTCCCCCCCCCTGTCGTTGCCCCTAAGCGTAAGAGTAATCCTTCGCCGGACTGGCCTTCCCAGACATCGGGCGCATTTGCAGACTCGAGGTGCCCGGTTTGTGGCCGTTTTTGGCGTTGGGAGGCCAGCTTCGGGCCTCGGGGCCTTCCACAACAACGACTCGCGATGAGACGCCGGCCGTGGGCAAGGGGTCGAGAGGTCCTGGGGCCCACGCGTCTAAAGCAGCCAAGTGCCAGGTGTCTGGATTGGGTGCGGGCTCACAGGGCGCACTTCCAATCACCGGCTGGCGCGCTTGGATTTGCCCCCCGCCCGCGGCCCCGCTACTGTCGCACTGCAAGAGCGTGTTTCTTTGATGCCTGGGCTATAACGCGCGTTATGGCCCCCAGCCCTCCTCCCCATAACGTAAAGCTCCCCCCCCCCCCCGTGCACCCCCGGCACTGCCGCCGTGCGGATAGGGATCCGCATAGGGAGCCGACTAGAAATCCGCATAGGCATCCGCGTAGAACTCCGCATAGTGATCCGCCCGCATGAGGATCGCATAGGGATATCCATCGGGAACCGCAAAGGGATCTACACAGGGATCCGCACTGGGATTCCCACAAGGAACCGCATACGGATCCGCATAGAGATCCGCATAGGAATCTGCATAGGGATCCGCATAGGGATCCGCATACGGATCCGCATGGCAACTCGCAGAGGGATCCGCGTATGGATCCGCACAAGGATCTCCTCAGGAAGCCGCATCTGGGTCCGCATAGGGATCCCAATAGGTATCCGATATCCGCATAGGGATCCGCACAGGCATCCCCATAGGGATCCGCATAGGGATCCGCATAGGGATCCCAAAAGGGATCCCCAAAGGGACCTGGGTTGGGAACCACGCTCAGGCATTTGTGGTGTTCGTAAGAGAGGGAGCAAGAGGAGGAGAAGGACGACGATGACGAGGAAGGAGGAGGGAGGGAAGGAGCATACCTCTTATACGCCACGTGGACGCAGCGACGTCTTCGCAAGCATGTGCTCGCCACAACTCGTCTCTTGCAATCGTCGCTCTTCGTCTTCGTCGTCGTCACTCGTCGTCTTCGTCGTCGTCGTCGTCGTCGTCGCTCGTCGTCGCTCGTCGCTCGTCGTTGAATGCCGTCGAGGGCCTCCGGAGGCCTTCGGAGGACCTCTGGAGGGCCTCTGAAGGCTTACAAAGGCTTCAGGAGGCTTCCAGAGGCCCCGGGAGACCTCCAGAGATTTCTGGAGACATCCGGAGAACTCCAGGGGAGTCGCTCGTCGTCGTATCTGTCGCCGTCGTCGTCGTCGCTCGTCGTCGCCGTCGTCGTCGTCGTCGTCGTCGCCGTAATCGGTCGTCGTCTCGTCGTCGGTCGTCGTCGTCGTCGTCGTCGCCGTCGCCGTCGTCGTCGCGGTCGTCGTCGTCGTCTCCGTTGTCGTCGTCGTCGTCGTCGTCGTCGTCGTTGCTCGTCGCTCGTCGCTCGTCGTCGTCGTGCGCGCGGGCGCCGCGGTGGGGCCGGGACCACGTTGCCAGGGGGGGGGGGCGTTACGTTATGTCCCCCCCCCCGCTCCCCCCCCCCGCCCTCATAACGCCCGTCATCGCCGCGAATAAAGAAACGGGTTCCAAAGGTCACCCCTGCCCAGGGTGAGCTTTTTGCGTGCAGCCGAGGCAGGGGGTCCAGCGCCGACCCGACGCAAGAGCTCTGCGCGGACCTCCAAGAGTGAACGCCTTCGGGTCTAACAGTCAACCCGCGTAGTATCAGTAGGGAGCAAAACCACACACAGACACAACTAATCGTCGATTCCCCAGAAAGTATGGGAGAAGATGGGAAGTGGGGGGGGAAGACAAAAACCCAGAACATATGGGGAAATCGGGGGAATCCGGTTGTTCGTGTCCATTTACTTGTGTGTCCCAGGGCCCCATTCATAGCAAAGATGAGCAACCTTCCAAGGTTAATTACGCTTGCATCCTTCTCCTTCGGCGCATCCTCGGCCGCTTCCGCCGGCCACGCCCCGCTCGCCAAGCGTCGACATGACCCTCCGAAGCCCATGCATCCTTATCGTGCGTCCTTACTGCACGGGTTGACTGTGTGATCCAGACAGCCGGCGTTGAGCTTCCTTCGCAACCTGACTCAGGACCGGCTTGCCATCCCGAGTCGTTCCACGACGGTCCCAAGCCTGGCGAGGGCCCTCGGAGGCCGAGACAGGCCCGAAAGCACTCTTGCTCCGACCCGAGAGCTCCGTTCGAACCTCCGAGTTTCTCTCCTGAGATCCGGCGTCGCGAAGCAAATGCAACATCGCAATCGTGGAAAGATCACGACCGGAGCCCGGATCGATCCGGGATGGCCCTGGGCCCGAAACCAGCCCACGACGTTCGGTTCGGACAGAGATGGCGACGCCCGGATCTCGAGGGGTGCAGGCCTTCTCGGAGAGAGACCGTGACCACGATGGCATCGCCGAGCCGAGGAGCAATCCTTCGGAGTCCCTGTCTGCCATGTTCGTGACCGCTGCTTCCATCCCAGACGTCTGCTTTTGCCACCCGCGCCCCCAGGCCTCCCGACCCCCCCCCCGGATCGCTTCGCGCCCCATCTAGATCCGTTCCTGGTGGCCCCCCCCTGAGGGCCCGACCCGCGGCCCCGAGGCCCGGCAAGGGCCCCCAGAGGCCGAGAATTCAAGGAACACCTCCCGCCGCGCGATTTTTTCTCCTCCTCCTTTCCTCCTCCTCCTCCTTTCCTCCTCCTGCTCCTCCATTCCCTTCTCCTCCTCCTCCTCCTCCTCCTCCTCCTCCTCCTCCTCCTCCAGAGGCGATTTTTTCTCGCAGCGCGCGGGGGTCTGCGCAGGGCCCGTGCCTCCCGAGGTCGGCCTGCTGCGGGGCTGCGCCGGCGGGGCCCCGGCAGCGCCGCCGCACGCGCGCGCCCCCGCGGCGTGCGGCGCCGGCGTGCGCGCGCCGCTTGGGGAGGCCGCCGCGGCCGAGCCGGCCGCGAGGCAGCCGGTGCGGGCCGAGGCCGTCGTCACGACGCCGAGGGCGGCGGCGCCGGAGGGCCCGCGGATCCTGCCAGAGGAGCGGGGCACGGAGAGGGCGCCTGCCTGGCCAAAGAGCCCCTCGAGGCGTGGCAGAGTCACGGCGGCAGGTTTTTGTTCGAGGGCGTGTAGACTTTTTTTTTCCTCGGCGAGGACCATCGAGGAGCATCTTGGATCATCTGGCGAGAAAGCCACGCACGGAACCGAACAAAAAGCACAGGGAATGGACGTCCGAGCGATGGCCAGCGGGGCATCGAGAGGGCGCCCGCCGGGCCCAGAGAGCCCCTCGAGGCGTGGCAGAGCCACGGCGGCAGGTTTTGTTCGCGGGCGGGTTGACCTCTCCTGCCCTGACGCGTCGATTCAGGCATTGGCCGTTTTCGGTCCGCGAGAGGGCGTCGCGGCCGTCCTTTTTGCGGGTCCAGGTCCGTCGATTTCGGTCCCAGGCCGTTTTCACTGAGGGGAGGTTTGCAAAGGGAGGTTTGTCCACCGCCGAGACAAAGTCACGACGGCAGGTTTTTCGCGATCTTCGGGCGGCCCTCGCCGGGCCCACGGGGCCGTCAAGAAAACGACTCAGGATGAAGAGCTGGTCTTGGGGAGGGGGTCGAGGCTTCGGGGGCCCCGCATGGAAGACGTCGCGACCTCGGATCTCGGGGAGTGCCCCTGGCCCAATGGGTGCCCCCAGGATTTCCAGGGACCTGTCGGGGGTTAAGGAGTTGGCACGTTTACGGGGGTTCTTCTCGGGGGTTCAGGAGACCTGTCGGGGGTTCTCCTCGGGTGGATAGACCTCCTACCCTGACACGTCGATTCAGGAATTGGCCGTTTTCGGTCCGCGAGAGGGCGTCGCGGCCGTCCTTTCTGCGGGCCCAGGTCCGTCGGTTTCGGTCCCAGGCCGTTCTCACTATGGGGGGGGGTGCAAAAGGGAGGTCTGTCCACCGTCCCCCAGCACCGACGGATGCTCGTCGGAGGCTCTGCGGTTCAGTGGCTGGGGCTGCTGGTGTCGCCCCCATAACTCCATGTTTCTGTTCTCCCAAGGGCACTTGGGCGCCCTGGGCCACCACACCTATTTCCTTGTGTTAACTCGTCCGAGTGTCTACGTTTCTCGGGGCCCGTTTTAACATGTTGAAGCGAGTGCTTCCAGGCCGATGTATGTCTCCCTGGAGGGGCGCCTCGTCTCCTGCAATCTGTCGTTGGCGGGCGTCCCGATGGTGTGTGTGTGTGTGTGTGTGTGTGCGATGGCGCCCTCTCGTCTTTTTCACTCGTCCGTCCCATTCGTGTTGCTGCATTCGGCGCGTCGTTTCGTGGGGTTGCTCTTCTTCTTCTTCTTCCTCCTCCTCCTCCACTTCCTTCTCCGCCTCTTCCCTCCTCCTCTTCCTCCTCCTCCTCCTCCTCCTCCTCCTCCTCCTCCTCCTCCCCCTCCCCCTCCCCCTCCCCCTCCCCCTTCCTCCTCCTCCTCCTCCGCCTCCATTCTCTTCTTGGTCAGCAAAACTCCACCCCCTGTCGCAAAACAGTAGGCCAGGCCACGCTGGGCGTTTCTCTTGAGAGGCATCCTCGCGCATGTTCATTCATTGTAAATGGTGGCAGCAACTACAAAGGAGGAGGAGGATGAGGAGGAGGAGGAGGAGGAACAGGAGGAGGAGGAGGACGACGACGAGGAACAGGAGGAGGAGGAGGAGGAAGAAGAGGAGGAGGAGGAGGAACAGGAGGAGGAGGAGGAGGAAGATGAAGATGATGAATATGATGATGATGATGATGATGATGATGATGATGATGATGATGATGATGATGATGATGATGATGCTGACGATGATGATGATGACGATGATGATGATGATGATGATGACGATGACGATGACGATGATGATGATGATGATGATGATGATGATGATGATGATGATGATGATGATGATGATGATGATGATGATGATGATGATGATGATGATGATGATGATGATGATGATGATGATGATGATGATGATGATGATGATGATGATGATGATGATGATATGGTGGTGGTGGTGGTGATGATGATGATGATGATCATGATGATGATTGATGATGATGATGATGATGAGGAGGAGGAGGAGGAGGGAGGAGGAGGAGGAGGGAGGGAGGAGGAGGAGGAGGAGGAGGAGGAGGAGGAGGAGGAGGAGGAGGAGGAGGAGGGAGGAGAGGAGGAGGAGGAGGAGGAGGAGGAGGAGGAGGAGGAGGAGGAGGCGGAGGAGGAGGCGGGAGGGAAGAGGCGGGGAGAGGAGGAGGAGGAGGCCGCCCCTTGCCGAAATGGCGCTCTCGGTCTTGCGCCGCGCACAAGTTTTGAAGTTTGTCACTGCCACAAGGACGGATGGCCGGTGGTTTCGAATTGAGATCTCGTTTTCGCGTCGCACGCGTTCGCTTTAAACATCGTTTCAGAAGCTGGCAGCAGCTACCACACTGGAGACCAGCTCCTTTCCCAAATGGGTCTCTCGCCTTAGCGCCGCGCGCATTCGTTTAAAAGCCTGCTGCTGCTGCACTCATGGGAGACGGCTCCTTTTCACAAATCTGTATGTCGCTCGAGACGCCCTTAGAGTCAAATGCAGAGGGAAAGTATGTGGCAGCCGCTCGGGCTGAAGGCGGTTCCTTTCCAAACCGGTGCTCTCTATGGAGAATGGAGAAGCTCTTTACACTCTGATGGCCAGAAGTGTGCACGCGTGTGACCGTTGCACGGATGGCGGGCGGTTCCTTTTCAAAACGGAGGAGGAGGAGGAGGAGGAGGAGGAGGAGGAGGAGGAGGGAGGAGGAGGAGGAGGAGGAGGAGGAGGAGGAGGAGGAGGAGGATGCAAGCGAGTCCCTTTTCAAAACGGGGCTCTCGCCTGAATGCACGCCCACGCGTAGGGCGCTGGCCTTCAGAAGGGGCAGCACATGTGCATGGGGCCTGCGAGGAGGGAGCTTGGGACGGGAGGGTGTGTTGCAGCATCGTTCATGCATCCTGGGCTTACCCTGGTCCTCCTCGTCCTCCTCCTCCTCCTCCTCCTCCTCCTCCTCCTCCTGCTTCTCCTCCTCCTTCTCCTGCTCCTCTCCTCCCTCCCTCCCCTCCCTTTCCCCTGCCCTCCCCTCTCCTCCTATCTCCTCCCCTCCCCTCTCCTCCTTCGCCTCCTCCATCTCCTCCTCCTCCTCCCTGCGCTCGTCTACCCTCCCCGCTCCCTCCCTTTCCCCCCCTCGTCCTACCCCATTCATCCTCGCCCCCTCCTCCCTACCCCCTTATCTCTCTCTCTCTCTCTTCCCTCCGTCCTCCCTTCCTCCCCCCCTCCCTCCCTACCTCTCTCGTTCTCTGGAACGAACAAGTGCCCCCAGGAGAAGGGGTCCAGTCTACTGGGGCCAACGGATTGCAAAACAGAGCGCCGGAAGTCCGGGGAGGTGGCCTTGGACCTCCTGACAGGCGGTGGCAACGAGGGTAACCACTAGGGGGATCGCCAGCTTCTCCCAGGGATCGTGGACCGAGCAAGGTTTTCGACATTTAGGTGCCTGGGCGGGTTGGGGGGGGTTCTGGGGGGACCTCGAGAAGTTGGCGCCTCCACTGGTGATGGCACCCCCCCTGGCGTTGCGTGGTCGTAGAGCACGCCTCACGAGGCTGGTGTTCCCTGCTGAGCCCGTTCGGAGTCTGAGCCTGCCGCGGAATGGACTCGCTCGTGGGCCCGTTCAGCGGCCCAACGAGCTCAGACGCCGAATGAGTTCGGAGAGGAAGCCTAGAGTTGGGCCCCAGGGCCAGGACCACTTCGGGCATCCTCCTGGGCGATCGGGTGGACAGCAACGGCGGGGCAGGTAACGAGGGGTGAAGACCCCTTCGCGCTGCGAAGAAAAAAAGTGGCGGAGTTGTTTTTGGTGTGTGTGTGTGTTTGTTTATTTGGGACTCAGCTTGCGCTGCGCAAGCTGATGGACTGCTGCACCACGAATATTCAAGAATATCCAACACCGAAGGATATAAAATGTGTGTGTGTGTGTGTGTCTGTGGGTGAGTGTGTGGTTGGTGTGAGGTTGGTGTTGTGGTTGATGTGTGGTTGGTGTGTGGTTGGTGTTTGGTTGGTGTGTGGTTGGTACGCGGTTGATGTGTGATTGGTGTGTGGTTGGCGTGTGGTTGGTGTGCGGTTTGTGTGTGGTTGGCATGTGGTTGGTGTGTGTTGTGTGTGTTGTGTTGTGTGTGTTGCGGGTATGTTGGTGTGTGTGCTGCGTGTGTTGTGCGCGTGTGTGTGTGTGCTATGTGTGTGTGTGTTGTGTGTTGTATGTGTTGTGTGTTGTGTATTATGTGTGTGTGTGTGCTGTGTGTGTGTTTCGTGTGTTGTGTGTTGTGTGTGCTGTGTGTGCTGTCTGCGTTGTGTGGGTGTTGTGTGTGTTGTGTGTTGTGTGTTGTGCGTGTTGTGTGTTGTGCTTATTGTATGCTTGTTGTGTGTGTTGTGTGGGTGTGTGTGTGTGTCGTGTGTGCTGTGTGTGTTGTGTGTGTGTTGTGTGGTTTCTGTGTTTTGTATGTTGTGTGTGTGTTGTGTGTGGGTTGTGTGTTGTGTGTTGTGTGTTGTGTGCTGTTGTGTATTCTGTGTGTGTTGCGTGTGTTGCGTGTGTTGTGTGTGTTGTGTGTTGTGTGTGTTGTGTGTGTGCAGTGTGTTTGTTGTGTGTTGCTGTGTGTTGTGTGTGTTGTGTGTGTGTGTTGGGATGCGTGTGTTGTGTGTGTTGTGTGCTTCTTCATGGGACTCGGCTTGCGCTGCGCAAGCTGTTGGACTGCTGCACCAAGGATATTCAAGAATATGCAGACCCCAAGGTTATACAATGTGGGTGTGTCTGTGTGTGGGTTGTGCGTGGTTGGTGTCTGGTTGGTGTGAAGTTGGTGTTGTGGTTGGTGTGTGGTTGGGGTGTGGTTGGTGTTTGGTTGGTGTG